GTATTATTTCTATTGCTGTTTGTTATCCCTGGCTGTTCAGTGTGTAAATTTTGATTCTTGGTATACATACATTCGATTTAACTTTGCATACATACATGTTATATGGTATATATATCAAATAGATACATTTTACATTGATAGCAAGACCTGTCCTTAAGGAGGAAAGCAACTGACCATTGCTTTCAAGTAGAGAAAGGCAGAGAGTGCAAGAGAAGTACAATGGGAGGATGTGGCTGCTCACAGACTGAATACCTTGCAAGGTGCCACCAGAGTATTTGAGACCAGACTGGAATTTCTTAAAATGGCTTAGATTCAGCAGAGACATCTGTCAGGATAGTAATAAAGGGACAAAAATCACCATCTGATAGTCAGCAAGAGGAGAGCCTTGTGGAGGGATCTTTGTAGATGTTCCTTCCAGCCTTTCTGGAAGGGGTTTTGGTGAAATATCCCTATGAAGAATGAGAGAACCAACCAAGAACTAAGGAGAAATTTCCTAAAAGTTAGAACAATTATTCAGTGGAACAGCTTGCCTCCAAGTTGTGAGTGCTACATCGCTGGAGGTTTTCAAGAAGAGACTAGACAACTATTTGATTAGGATGGTATAAGGTCTCCTGCCTTGAAGAGAGGGTTAGACTTGAAGACCTCCAAAATACTTTTCCAATTCTATTATTCTATTAATTAATCAGTGGAATGACTTGCCTCCAGAAATTGTAGGTGCTCCATCACTGGGGGTTTTCAAGAAGAGACTGGATAGCCATTTTGCCAGAACAGTATAGGGCAGTGGTTCTCAACCTGTGGGTCGGGACCCCATTTGGGGTCGAACGACCATTTCACGGGGGTCGCCAAACAACGCAGTCCGCCATTTTTTCCCCCTTTTCTTTGGCCACGCCCCTGGCACCTGGTGATATATAAGTGGTTGGGGATCACCACAACATGGGGAACTGTATTATGGGGTCGCGGCATTAGAAAGGTTGAGAACCACTGGTATAGGGACTCCTATTTGAGCAGGGGATTGGAGTGGAAGACTTCCAAAGTCCCTTCCAACTCTGTTATTCTGAAGCCAGTATGAGCCTACAGAACAGCAGCTTAAATGGTAAATATGGATATAATCTAAAAATGGAATATAGTGGTACAATTGTCAGAAGCTTTTGCCTAAGGATATCTGTGACGGGCATGGTTTGTAGAGAGGAAAAGATCTATTTCCCGATTTTGCTCATTAGGGACAAATTGGCTATACTGAGAAGGATCTTTGCTCTTTACAGTTCATGCCCATGACAGGCACTCTAGGGCAGGTCCTTGTGACAATTCCATTCCAACTGCATTCCAACATATCTTCTTCCTTCTAAAAGATCCCTGTGCTTAACTTTCTTTCCATACAATCTCCTCTTAAGCATATCACAAATTGAGTGAGCCAGTATGTAAGCTTTCATCCAGCAATGTTCTTTCACAAAAGGTCCTCACCTGGGGTGGTTCCATGATGTGCCACAATTTTTCACTGTACATTTTGTTATTTAAGATGATGTATTTTAGAGAAAAAAAATGCCTTTCTATTTCATGCACTATTTGATCCAAACATATTTGCAGGCATTTCCTTCCCAATCTGTTGCTGCTTGTAGATGGAGAGAACAGACATTTATTTCCATTACTAAGGCAACAAGGAAATCACTCACTTTCCATAATTTTCTACTTTGAATGACAGGACCCAGTTGGATGTGCATTTTGCTGCACAGAAAGGTTAGCTTGTCACGTGGGAAGCCTTTTTCATACAGGGTTCCCTTGTTCTCGTGCTCAGGATAACCCCAAGTGATGCAGGCATGTGAGCAACTAAGAGTTTTCTAGTTGTAGCAGACTGCACATGGGAGTCTGCAACTTTGCCTGCTTTTGTCGATATCATGAAAGCAGTGTTGTGATTCATGCTTACCATTTTTTCACATGTGTGTGCAAGATCACTACACAAAGGACTAGGTCTTGGGTTGCAGTAGTACAATGCTGCTTTTGTCAGACAGTTTGACTCCCATCTCCATCCTAAGGTCTCTGCTGAGCCTTCTATGTCCTGCATCTCATCTCTTGGATGTCCTGAGACTACTCTAAGAAGGTAGGTTACCTGTTATATGCTCAGGCAGCATTACAATCATTTCCTAGGTCTTCCTAATGTTGGCATGAAGCAACAGTCCTGCTGACCAAATGAAATTGTGTATACTGCTTGAGGCTTTCTATATCCCAAATTTCTCTCCTTTTTGTATACTGTATAAAGGTAAAAAAAAAAAAAAACATTCGAAAATGCATGTCCCAAATCATGATAGTATGACAGCAGCACACTTCCACAGTTCTCTAACATTGCTATTATTATTTTTTTGTATGCTAGCACTTAGCCTTGATACCTTACAGTTCCAAACTTCTTTTTCCATTGGGAAATAGCAACACATATTTTATAGTTCCTGGAATTAAAAGCAGAAGCAATGAACTTTACCTTTGAATTAAAATATCTTGCCAGGAGGATTCCTTTTCTGGCAAGTGTAAATGGAACAGAATCTCGGGTGATTTTTTTTCTTAATATACTGTCTTATCCAATGCTTCTTTTGTAAAAAAAAAAAAAAAAAAAAAAAGGTGCCGGAACTCACACACGTCATACAACCCGCCTTGCCTACCCTACAAGGTTCCATCCAAAAAAGGTGCAGGAACTCCGTTCTGGGCGTTCTATGACCAAAAAAAGTCCTGATCTTATCTATGAACAGCTTGTGATAATTTTTTTTTAAAAAAATCAGCAAATAATTTTTCGCTGCATTTCTGTGCCAGATAAAACTTTAGTGTATGATCCAATTTTCAATGCTCTTCAGAAAACACATAAAGGTTGCAATCAAATGAAGCAGAAATTAAGAAATCACGCCCAATTCTTAAATGCAATCAAAACATACCTATTTTCTGCCCCCCTCCAATTAAGGACTGGCTTATTTTGCTCCTATGGCATCCAACTCATGGATGAAAGGAGAATGTTTACTTCCTGCTGATAGATGAGCTAACCAACTGCTTCCAGCCTTTCCTTCTTTATCAAAGTTATGTTAATCATGTAACTTCCTGACAGCCACTAGCTACCCACTTACTTCCTCTGTGTTCCTATCAGCAATCAAACACATAAACACTACAGTTTTGCCTCTTTCCATTCCCTGAGAAACACTGGAAAAAGCTCCTCCTCCTCCTCCTCCTCGAGACTGCCATGCTGCCTAATGGGCACATCACCTCAAACAGTCTGTGGTGAGCAGCAGATGGAGGAGAAAACTGTGGGTTGTGCAGACTGCATGATATCCCCCCAAAATTAATCTCACCTCCGTGAAAAACATTTGCCAACGTTGCAAGAAGACTCAACTGTTTGCTAAATCAGCTTTTATACATGCGATAGGAGGTAATACCATCTTAAATGTTGTCTCTTGGGATTCTGTGGTTGCACAAAGTGTTAGTTGGCTAGATACATGTACTATACTAGCTTAAATGTGCTTTGTTTCAGTTCACCACGGTATACATGTAGTCCTCATTTAATGACCGGTTGCCATTCAAAGTTACAAAGCTTGTATAATGTGAGATGAATGATGTAATGTTAGGAATGACTCAGCAGGAATCTGTATCCCTTTAAGAACATAAGTATAAAAGGGAAGGCCTTGCTGGAGTCTTTCTCGTCCATTTCCTGTGTTATTGTATTCAGTTTGCTGTGTATTGGAGTTTGCTGTATTACCACGTATATGTATTTTGCTCCTAGAATATATTTGTAGATAGTGTAATATAAACCAACATTTAATACAAACCATTGTTTGCTGTATTTACTCCTGGGTTACCTCAGTGCAATAAGACTGTGCATGCTCTGACAGACCTCTCCAGAGTTACTTAGGACACTTTTTCAAAGTTTTGAGGGCCACTTCTCCAATTACATGATTGCATTTTGGACACTTGGAAAACAGTTTGCCATTTACAGCAAACACATACTTTTTGGCATTTTTCGCTGGTTTCCTTCTGATTTCCAGCAAAAAACAGACATGGAGGAAAACAAACTCATTTAATGACCATGGCATTGGCTTCATGACCACGGCATTGGCTTCATGACAAAAGAGGTCATAAAATCAAGCACAGTCATATGATGATCTGCTTAATGACCACCACAATTTATTACCGCAATTCTGTGCTCAATTACAGTTATAAGTTAAGAACTATCTGTAACGTGTGAACCCAGTCATTCAGTTCAAATGGTATTAACCACCATACATAAAAAAGGAATGTTAACAAACCCAGTGACCCCAACTCTACAGTTAAATTTCTCTTTTGCAGAAAACCAAAAGCAGAGAAAGGCATGTTCCTGCACAGAGGAGGTACAATAATCTTAGGAATCAGAATAGGCTGTACTTCAGTTATGCCACCCGAGACAATATCAGAACTTGCACTTGTAAGATGTTGAAGGAATAAAACGAAAGCTCTCCTTAACCAGCATTGCAGAATAGAGCAGAATTTGATTTCCAGCATCAAATATTATTGGATTCATTCTGACTTTTATAAACATTCTCATGTCTAAAAGTTAAAAAGTACATTCTCCCTGAACGAAGCAAATGTATTTAAGCTTTTCTGCATATAAAGATAGGAGCATAAGCGAGAATAGCCACCATTTTGAATCATAACTATTTCATATCTTATTTTATGGAGTTTAACAGAGAAACTATAGGCTATTTCAACCACTAGGGACTACCCACTTTGATTCTGAATTAATACACTTATGTTTAATCTCATACTGGGAAGATTTTTAGATGGTTTACAATGGTTGACAAGAAGAGCTACCATGTAGCAGAGAAGTTGGTTAGTCTACTTTAATCCTCATGTTTTAGTTAGCTCTTAACCATTTAATTTCTACTTTCTCCTTTACGCCCTGTCAAGAAGATAAGTAGCAATTGCTCTGCCCAGGGACATTTTAGAGTCAAATCCCATTGGCTACTTCCCATACTTTGAGAAATTCATTCACCCACCTATACAGACAATATCCATGAAGCCATACATCCCATAACAGATCTGGAAGAGCAGGTCTTGGCGCTGCCACTTAGCAGATGGACTGAAAGTTGACCAGATAAGCCACGAGATACTGGCGATAAGAAAAAGGGACCCCAAGATGGCTGCTGCTATCTGAACTTTTTCGATGACGGTCAGAGAAATGGTCTGCCACTGTGTAAGGCCCCAGGCAACAGGAAGGCAGCAACAAACAAGCCAGGAAGAAAAAGAGAGATAAATGGAATTAATTCCTGATTCATAGGCATCAAATCACGCTAATTAACATCCAATAACATTTCCACATGGATTTTTGGACAAGATTGTAGCAGCAATTTAAACAAAATGGACTTCATTGTTATGCAGTAGTTCCCAGAAGAAAGAGCAATTCTGAATTTGCGACAGCATCTGGAAAAAGACAGTATTAATTCCTGCCCTGGTTATCCCTCCAGTGTTAGTGCTCCCAGTCCTGTCATTTTTCTACACTTCTATCCAGCTGCATTCTTAAGGGTTGGTTAGGAATTAGTTGAACTCCATTGTTTTAAAAAAGACTAAAAAGACTACTAAAACATAAAATGTTAATTGTGATAATAATAGCCATGATTTTGTTGCATTATATTCAAATATATCTTGGTTTTCATACTTCTTTTGTGTCACCTTGATATCCCAGCATTAAGCAATGGTTAAAACTATTTTTTACTGAACAAACAAATATACTGTAAATTAGAGGAAATAAAATAGCATTTGGGACAATCCCTAGAGATCAGATTAGTCCTGACCCTTTAGTTTTTGCAAGGCCCTGAAGACACGGCTCTGTTCCTGGACTGGGGTGTGTGTGTCAAAATGTCTGTTAAAGCCTGTGAATTAATTAAACCATCTTCATGAATATTTTAAATTTTTGTTGGTTTTTTCTGTTTTAATTATTGTTAGTCATCCAGAGTCATTTGTTTGAGATGGTAGCTATATCAATTGCATGCATGAATAAATAAAATGAAGTTTTTTTCATTAGCTCATCTATCAATATCTGTGATATTTAATTCTGAAAAATGAGAAGAAGAAATCTGCTTCTTGCGTATTTTGGAGAAATCCTACAGTCCAAACATACCATTAAAGGATTCATTAACACAGGAAAAAAAAAACCATATCCCTGTTTTGGAATACTAATAAGGTACGGTAACATTTTTTAAAAAAAATAACCAAAGTAGTAGGCTGAAACAGTAGCACTTTCTCTGATGACCTTTGGCTTCTTGCCAAATTTATCATTCTCTCATGAACTGCCTCTTTTTGCTTATATGCCATTTAGTTTGGAGGCTGCAGGAGTCATTATCTAGTCTTTGTCCTGATTTTTTTTAAAAAACAGAATTGTTACGTGTATTACAATTAAAATCAAGATTCTTAATTACCTCTTCCTCATTCTGCTAGACACAATCACAAGATAGGTGGTAAAAAAAAAATCTCCCTTTCTCTCCCCATCTTTCTGCTAGAACCTCTATATTTGAGCTGCAGATGGCAGCAAAGTGATAAGAATAGCTTCACTTATTGCTGCCACCCAGTGGTCACCTGAATGAATGCAGGTTAGATCTTGTATCTCTACAATATTTCCAATCTTGAGACAACTTCAGGGCAAAGTCAATGGGGCAGGGAATGTGGCAAGTCTCCTGGTTTTCCTGCACTCATCCATGCTCTCCACCCCATGACCTTACTGCACTTGACCTTGCGGCACCCCTCTTCCTACCTCCCCTCCTACCCATGGCATTCTTACACTCCTTACCTGGCACTCCCATCACTTTCTGCTTAACAACCTCCATGTCCTGGGGGTTACAACAGTACTGGAATTCTCTTGCTAAGCAATGCAGTTGTATAACATTGCATTTTAAATTGCATCACTTAGCAATGGCAATCCTTGTCCCAACTGCCATCGTAACCCGAGGACTACCTGTATCTTAAATATTTCCTATTAAGCTAACATGCAAGGAGGATAACTTTGAACTTACAACTCAGGAGTCATTCTCCTTTTCTTTCAGTGTATTCTGTTTATTCATTTATTCCATTTTCATAGCATATGGTGTGCTCCTTTGCTCCTTATTTTTCATCCCAACAGTAAACCGAGTTGGGTGATAGCTTTATAATCATGTGACATTACATTTCTCTTTAAAATTTCTCTCTATCCATAATCTTCAAAGTGCAGTGAAATCTGGCTTTAGTATTTTTCTAACAATGCCACTTTGATTTTCTTGAATTCTGTCGTTTCTTACCAGTTCCTTGAATTCAATAATTTATTTCATTGTAAAAAAAAATTCCAAGAACAAATTCATGGTTAGAAGTTTTATTAAAACAACACTTAGGGAACCCTGATCTAGGTTATATGAAACAATCACGATCCTTGCATTTGACTCTGTTGAAAATAACATTCCTGTGCCTTGTCTTCTGCTTATTCTAATTATGTGAGCAGAGAACATAGAATCCTAGTGGCTGGAAGGGACCTCAGAGGTCTTTTAGTCTCAGAGTTTATAGGATTTTTGGAGCATTCTCCTTCCAGAGAGAGAGGGGAGGGAGGGAGAGAGAGAGAGAGGGAGGGACTGAGGGAGAGAGAGGGAGGGAGGAAGGGAGAGAGAGGGAGGGAGGAAGGGAGAGGGAGGGACTGAGGGAGAGAGAGGGAGGGACTGAGGGAGAGAGGGAGGGAGGAAGGGAGAGAGAGGGAGGGACTGAGGGAGAGAGAGGGAGGGAGAGAGAGAGAGGGAGGGACTGAGGGAGAGAGAGGGAGGGAGGAAGGGAGAGAGAGGGAGGGAGAAAGGGAGAGAGGGAGGGAGAGAGAGAGAGAGAGATGAGTAGTTCTTAACTTACAATAGAGCAGTGGTTCTCAACCTTTTTAATGCCGCAACCCCCCAACCGGTCGTAAGTTGAGGACTACTCAACCGGTCATAAGTCAAGGACTACTCAACTGGTGCAGCACCATTTGCAGAATGGGACTTTTGGCGGGCTCAGCAGGTCAGAGACAGCCTGGACAATTTCTATTGGCTTTTGAAAGCCAATAGAATTAGACTCTATTCAAGTGAGCCTATTCTATTGGCTTTCAAAAGCCAATAGAATAAAAGGGAGTAGCACAGCTAAGGAAAAGGGGAAAAAATGGCGGACTCCGTTGTTTGGCGACCCCCGTGAAATGGTCGTTCGACCCCAAATGGGGTCCCGACCCACAGGTTGAGAACCACTGCAATAGAGTGACTTATGACCATTTTTCACACTTACCACTGTTGCAGCATCCCCATGGTCACATGATCAAAATTCAGGCACTTGGCAACTGACTCATATTTATGATGGTTACAGTGTCCTCAGGCCATGTAATCCCCCTTTGCAACCTTTTTACAAGTAAAGTCAGTGGGGAAGCCAGATTGACTTAACAACCGGGATACTAACATAACACCTGCAGTGATGCACTTAATAACTGTGGCAAGAAAAGTCACAAAACGGAGAAAACTCACTTAACAAATGTCTCACTTAGCACAGAATTATAGTTGCAAGTTGAGGACTACCTGCGTTACATTTTGTGAGCTTTTCCTTAGGTTGTTTCATTCTAAATTGTCCCCTCAGCCTTGTTCATTCCCCCTCTTGTTTCTAATATTGAATGTATAGAATCATTCTTTGACTCTTTGGCACACGTCTGGACCCAGGAATAACCTTTTGTTCTTTCATGAGCTTTCCAGTCTGTTATGCAGATGCACAGATAGCTTGGTTATTAAGATTACGTTTTGATTATTTCCACCAGAGAGAAATGCCAGAACATTACCTGTCTCACTGAGGTGAGAGGTTTTTTTATAGCCATCTGGGCTAGAAAACACTCATTTAATTTGAGCATTTCAAGTTAAATGGCCACATCACTGAAGTAAGCGGGAATTTTCCCAATATGCTTTGCCTCGTGTGCTACATGGCTATACAAGGCTACTGGGAAATGAAGATTTCTTAAAACATTATGAAGTTTCCTTGGAAATCACTGTGGAACCCGTACAGTTGGTTTTATTGGGAGTAGGTAGGAGGGGGGTAATTGTTTTTTAAGTGGAAGCAGTGTGCATTGCGGTAACCCAAACTAATTTTTATCTCAAGCTGAGTATGTTTACAGCTTGCTATAATATCTCAAGCAAAACCAATTTCCGAGACTGAATTGGTACGTTTCAAAATACAAGCAAGTATTATTTTGAGCCTAACCAGTGGAGCCTAGAAAAGGGCATTGAGGTCATATTAAACCCTACTGTTATTTTTGCTGGTTTAGAATACGGGTAGGATGACAAAAAAAGATATTATGACATCTTAGAAGCTAACCTTTGAATAATGACATATATAGTTTGAAACCATCTAATGCCTATTTCCTTCCCACCATCTAAATTCTAATGTATGGGTTTTTTTGTGTGTAATTTGGCAGGTTTCTTCTCAAAAGTCATCATTATACAGCAAAGAACAGGGCTAAAAAAAAAACCGTTCACACGCTACTCTAAAACTGAAAAACGTTGCACAAAACTCCTGGTACCCACCAATCAGAAATGTGCAAACTGTATTTCACGCATGTGGCAACTTCCGCTACAAATGCAATTTAATTCTATTGAATATGTCAAAATAGTTACAAGGACTTTTTCTGTTTTAAAAAAGCCTTTCAACACAATGTCATCAGCAGTTATCCAATTCTTTCAAATTTCACCCATTCAGATTTTGTCCCCTCAGAAAGACTGATGATGCATATTTATAGGAATGCTTAAGTTTATATTGTCTCCTTCTGGCACTAAAATGCTGCTCGGGCAGCTAATAACAACAATCAGTAAAATATGGGGAGCAAGATGAAAGAAAAGCAGTAAAAATCAAGTAGCTGAAAGAAGGCATTAAGTGAATATTATATTTCCTATAAAACAAATAACTTCTGGAAGACAAAGAACAAAGTCTCTTTGGGAAGACTCCAGGATTAGCCAAGAAGACAAGATAGAGAACTTCCAAAATACTGAGTAAGCCTTCATGGTATTTTTAAGTAAGTTTCAGTGTATTTTCTTCACTGTCCCCTCTGATATTCTTCAAATGCCATTTTTCTTCTTTAATTATTCCATACCCACCTATTTGCCTTGGTAAGTAGGTCTATCAATATTACTGCATGGGTGAAGGGCATGATTCTTTCTCATTATTTTTCTGATCTTCTTATCCATGGCTTTTAGTTCTGCTTGAGTCCAGTCCATTAATCCAGATGTACATATAATGACTGAAATTGCTCAGGTGTTAATTGCCTTGATAGTATTGCCTTCCTTGACTTTGGATTTTTTCATTCTCTTGATCTATCCACTTCCAATTTTCTTCTTGACATGAGTGTCCTTGATGTTGACAGCTTGAAGGATGCCCAGGTATTTGTAGTGATCATCTTCAACTAGAGTCTTCATGTTACTGCCGGAGGGTGACTTGATTCCTCCAGTTTTCACTGTTTGTTTCTTGTTGAGGGTGGGTGTGGCACATTTGTCCATTGCAATATCTTGGCAGTAGATATGACAGTGCTGAGCAGCAATTCTATTTCATATGAGGTTTTTTTTTACACAGCTTCATATTGTCCATGTAAAGGAGGTGTGATAGCCTGGCAGACACATTTGATTGACATGGCCTGATTGTTCAACACTGTTAACAGAGGAATCATTACAATGACAACCAATGTTAGTGGTAGTGAATCTATTATTATTAATCACACTGATGAAATTTTGTTGCCAAATTTCAGCAGTGTGATCTCAAGATGCTGCCCTCCTGAAACTCCTGGTAAATCCATTTCTGTTATCCCCACCACTAGGCTTCTCATACAGTTTGAAGCCAAGTTAAATATTGGAAACTTCTGGGGATCTCCTAAGATAGTCAGGCCCCGATGTTTGCTCTAGATTTAGCTCTGAGTAGAATGAGAGAATCTTTTAAGCAGTCCAAGATACATTAAGCAATTTTCCAGATGACTAAATTGAGCCCAAACTGAACCACAGAGCCACCACACAATTCCAATGAAAAACCTCTTCACCTATTTTCAGCCTCAACTATTTATCTTTCTGTGGAATGGGCTGAACTTGGAGCAGGAACTCCACCACCTTGTCTTTTAGCTTCACTGTATACATTTATCTTTCTGTTTGTATCTTGTCACCAATAGTGCCCATTGTGGCAATTATTTTATGAAAGGGTATCTTTCATGACAGTGTCATCCAGACTGTTTTCAAACATTGAGGTACTAAACAAGGTCCCCAAAAGATCAAGATTGAAGGAGTCAGACACAATCCTTTTATATATTTTTGTTAAATTCTTCTCTCAGGGGGAATGACATTTTTAATCTTTTTCTCTTTGTTAAAACTAATTGTTTAGAGCTGTTTATTCTATGGAATTAAGAGAAGCAGGGGTGAGGAGAAACAAAGGAAGATTTAGTTTATCCCATAAATTAAGATGTTGATTAAACACTACAATAAACATTATTTGTGAAAAAGAGATTACATTCATTTGATCTATTGAATATTTGTAGACTTTGCTGTGTGTGTGTGTGTATGTGTTATTGATTTTTATTGATCATTTACTCGGGTCTTTAATGCCATTCTAGTTCAAAATGACATGTTCCTTATTGGCAATTACATCTGTTCTTGTGCAGCTATGTGTTCCTGCATATATTTCCCCTCCATGAGTGATGGTGTGATGTAGCACACAGAGATCATATAAGGGAGATGGTTTTAAACTGCTGAGATCTGTTGAAAAGACCCCACACAGCCACAAAATCTCCTTCCCACCCACCAGGGGTTATTGTGATGACCCAATAGTGACTTTGAACATACGTTTACTTTCAACTCTTTAGAAGAAAAGTGGGATGCAAATATAATTTGTGAAATGCATGCTGCAAATGAGGCAGAGGGCTGCTTCCTTTCATTAAGAATGACAATTTCCAGTTCCTGATACATTAACTTTGAATTCAGCAGAGATTTGTGTTCTGAACAAGTTAAACAGGAATAATATTGCTGAGGCCACTATTTCAAGCAGGAAGGCTGTTGCCTCCACACTGTGTGCCTCAGAACCAAGTGGAGTATGTCTCAGGAGTCTCTGTATTTTTGCTGACTTGCAGATTCTAGTAGATCAAATTCTGCAGTTGCTATAAATTAAATTGGCCAGGGCAATACAATGGCAGGCATCCTTTCCACTAGTTCAATTCTGGGTTCTAAGTGAACTATCTGGCAGTAGCTGGAGAGGAAATGCTAAGAAGTCTGTAACATCAGCATGTAGTGCTTAATATTTTGTTTAAATATTAGGGGATTAGCACATTTCACTGTTTATTGCAAACAGAAGAGAGTATCTGTAAGTTCAGGGATGAGCTTTGGCTTCTGGGTGCTCTCGGGGCTTGGTTGTTTTCTTGCAGACATTTCATTATCCAAACTAGATAACATCATCAGTGTCACTAGCAAGTGGGCTTTGCTCTCGTTTTATATCCTAGTGGCTAGGATATTCTAGGACAGGGGTCTTTGAACTTGGCCCTTTTATGACTTGTGGACTTCAAATCCCAGAATTCCTCAATCAGCATGTCTGGCTGAGGAATTCTGGGAGTTGAAGTCCACAAGTCATAAAAGGGCTAAGTTTGAAGAGCCCTGTTCTAGGATATTAATCCTTCATTCTGCTGCCCCTGGCTAAGATCCAGACCTGAACTCAGAGTTCTTCTGTACTGTCTGCTAAATGCAGACTGGTAATTCTTTAGGAAATGGATCTGGAGAATATGAACAGACGATCCTGCCTTCAACTCACCTCATCGCTGCTATCCCAAATGTGGCTCATACTATTGCTTTCTTGCTTCACTGCAGAAATGTCGTGTTTTGACTTTTGCCATAGTATTTGCTCTGAGCTGAATCTTCCTGAGGCAGAGGTTTGTCCTGCTTCTATTGGCCACCTGCAATGGACAACCCCTTTAGTCCTCAGCTACTGGGCTTTTGGCAGCAAGAGAGTCAGGACTCGACTAGTGTGGCAAAAAGGCATACCAGTAATAGTCAGAACTCTACTCCTATTTCTTTTACCAACTCCTAATGGCAGGAGAAATAAGGGGAGAGAAGAGGAGGATGGGCCTCTTATATTTCCTCCACTTCACTTGCCAGCGTTTTGTGAGACAAAGATGGAGAACCATTCTGCCTTCAGCAGCCCATCATTGCTGATGCTGAGACAGAATGGTTTCCAGCATCCAGCATCATCCCAAGCCCGAGGTAGGACCTGAAATCCAGACTTTCCAACCAGCATGAGCAGATTAGGTTGCGGTACAGAACAGCTCTCAGTCTCCCCACTATCTCAGCCTCAGGGACTGATACTGACAATGAAAGGAAATTTTCATATACACCAAAAGGTTCCCCCCCTCCCGTTGCAAACAGCAGATGTTCTGATTCAGACCTGTGCAAGTTAGCAAATGTGAATCTAATTTTGGACTATGTGTCCCCTGAATTGATTAAAGCCACAGTTGACAATCTTGTGGAAGCAAACCTTTTGTGTTTACTTGGCAAAATATTTTATCTTGAAGTCTCCATTTATTTTTCACCCTGGTCACATTGATGTGTTTTCTAAAAAGTAACTAAAGTACTGTAAATGCCAGCGTATAAGGCGACTTCCGCGAGCGCTGAAATCGCCGCCAAAGACAGGGGTCGTCTTATACGCCGGAAATACTGGTAGTTTCCGGTGTATACGACGACGTTCTTGGAATGTGGCCCGGCGATAAAGACGGGGGTGTCTTATACGCCGGGTCGCCTTGTACGCCGGCATATACGGTAAATGGTCCATTTCTTCACCACACACAGGGCACCATATAATGAAAAAGCCCACATGTGCATAACCAACAGGGCAAATACAGGAAGCAGGGAAAAGCCAAAACAAGAAAAGGAAAAGACTTTGGAATAATCTCTAGTACCTTTACCTGCAGGGGGTTCTTTGTGCTTATGGCAATGACGTGATACTTGTAGTAACACAGCTCACAGCTCCAGCATCCCCTCTCGCTGATCCATTTGATCAGGCAAGGTTGATGTGTACATTTCACTGACCCGTCACACCGACATGGACTCAGCAACTCACCCTGGAAAGAGAACATTACATACTTATGAAAATTCCTTACTGGAATGGCTCCCTCCAGGCACTTTTTTTTTCTTATGGGACTGGTGGATTAAACATTCATTGTAAACTTGTAAATACAGTATATAGTAAATACAGTATATATAAGAAAGCTAGCTTGGTTGTAGTGGCTAAAGCACCAGATTACAGATCAGGTTCTAGACCTGCTATAAGCATGAAGTCAGCTTGGTGACCTTTGACCAGTCACTCCCTCTCAGGCCAAAGAAGCAAGCAAGGGCAAACCACTTCCAAAATTCTGCAACGAAAACTCCAGTGACTTGTCCAAGCTATCACTAGGAGTCAACACTGACTCAAAGGGACAACAAGAAACAGTTTAGATATAATGACTGTGTTTATTTACATAAGGAATGCTATGCTTAAGGGTCTTTCTCATACTGAAGTGCTACCACCTACCTTTGCATTGGAGGAAACTAGACTTGGTTTCTTTTTCCTTGCAAAGCAAGCATGCAAGATGAGGGACCTGAAACTGAAAGGATCAACGGTGTCCTAACTAGCCGTACTTTGAACATTTTCCATGTGACTGCCCAACTGCATAAAGGCAGAAATTAGATTCATAAATATTAGTAAGCCATGATTTAACTATCAATGCCAAGACTGTAGGCTAAACTGGGAAGTGGAAAAAATACAAGGAGGAGGAATGGAAAATCACTTCTCTACTGCTGCCAAGAAATTTCCCATGAAATCAACAGCAACTGAACTCAGTTTGAAGACACTAAACTGAAAATGGTAAGAGACTGGATTCCCACAGCAGATTAACTCATAGTTTACAAACTGGATTCTGGCAGCATGCTAAGCTCAAACTGAACAAACAGCATGCCACAGTCACTTATAAGTTTTAGACTTCTGAAGAATTGAGTATTATCAATCCTTCCAGTTTTCCTGGAATTTGGGGAATGTGAGATTATTTATGGGATTCATACAATCAGCTGGGTCAAATTCACTGAAAAGCTCAGCAATACTTCCCAGGTACTTAACAAGCACAGTTGAACTAGGCCTTTAGGCTCAAACTCATCTAAAGACCCTTACACACAGAACACAACATAGAAATCTATGTCGTTGTTGTTTTCAAATAATTGATTGCTCTTGATTGACAAAAAGGTGCAGTCCTTTCAAATACCCTTTTTAGTCTTTTTAACCCACCCCCCTTTCCTCCGTTTAACACAATTTTTGGTTTGTGTTGTTTGGCCTTGGAACTGAATGAGTAGGGGTTGTTGGCATAAATGGCATCTCTGCATTGTAAAATTCTGCCACTAAGCCCTTCCCAAGCATAGCATTCAGAAAATCATTTCCATGTGATTAGAAATACCATCTTCTAGAGCAGGGGTGTCAAACTCGCAACGTCATGTGACGTGTCGTGACGTGTCATGACTTTTTCCCCATTGCCGGAGCTGGGCTGGGCGCGGTTTTGGCATGACGCATCCGGCCTGCAGGCTGGCAGTTTAACATCCCTGTTCTAGAGGTCAACACACTGCATTCTTGTTTTAAAAATAAAATATATTCTTCTAAAATGGTTACTGATGATTCTGTTGCTGATCTCAGATACTGGATAGAAAGACCAGAGGCTTAAGACTAATTCATTCCCTTCTGCCTCTGATATTATAAGCCTTTTAATATTCACAATTGGCACTGCCATCTCTGCCTTTGTTTAGGCAAATCTAATTTCTTACCTCTAACTTTCTAGATCAGTTTTCTCAGCTTCAGCCATTTTAGGATGTGTGGACTTCAACTCATAGAACACCCCAGCCAGCAAAGCCTAATCTCTTACCCACTAATTCTCTCGAGCAGTTTTTTGCAACCTTAGCAGTCCTGGTTGGAATATTCTGGGAGTTGAAGTCCACACATAATAAAAGAGCTAAAGTTGAGAAACACTGTTCTAGAGGCTCACCTGTTCTGTATAACATGGAAACCAGTGAATGTTATTATACAGTTAACGACATCAGACTATTCAGACCAGTGAGCTGAACCATACTGAACAGGGAACAGACTGCCATCTTCAGTCACAGCCAACAGCCCTGGAAAATTATTTGCTGTAATATAAATAATGGCAATCAATTCAGCTGGGAGATAATTTGCTGAGAAATATATTATTAGGGTGCTATTTTCCGGTACTGAACTCTCACCCCTTCGGGCTATTTGATTAGCTGACTTAAAATGCTCAGACTCTGCCTTTCCAAATTTGTACTGTATATGGCTGCTTGCAAATATTAGTTACACAGAGAAAAGAGGCAACCGATTTACTCTTTCAGTGTTTTCAGCTTGATAGCCAAAATCTCTTGCACGTGGAAAACACAAAATATGACTGCAAGAGGGAGGAAGAGAGACCGAATTCTTGAGAAAGACTGCTTCATAGAACTTGGATACAGCCTCCGGATTTACACAGGGACAAAATGTAAGTCCAATGTCTGGCAATCTTCAGTATCTTCTACTGTCCTTTCAAACCTGTGAGAGCGAATGTGGCGGCTGCATCAGAAAATCAGCCAAAGCTGCTTGACATTCAACTGAGATCGCCCTCAAGAAATGCCATTAGTATCCATTGCACAGTTCCAAATTACAACCAAGCTATAATGAGAAACGGTAAATTTTGCCATTCCTGGTCATATAAACTCAAATGCTCAGTGATGAATGGTTCTTGCCAACTGAGACTAAATGCACCAATTTGTGCATCAGAGATCCAGCATGGGAATGAAGATAGGTTATATTTTCTTCAGCATGGTCCACCCAGTCAGATGAGTTTGTTACTATCTACCATCTGACGCCATCCATAGTAGCACTAGTCTGAATGAACTGCTGGGGAGCAGGCCACTCGGGAAAGTAACGGAAGTTCAAAAATGATTCTTACGTGACTATGTAACCTGAGATTATGTGGGAGCAGGGCTTTTTTTCTCATAGAACGCCCAGAACAGAGTTCTGGCACCTTTTTTGGATGGAACCTTGTAGGGTAGGCAAGGCAGGTTGTATGACGTGTGTGAGTTCCGGCACCTTTTTTTTTTTTTTTTAGAAAAAAAGCAATGTGTGGGAGTATTTGCAAAGATGAATAGAGGAGGGGCAATTCATTTGAAAAGAGCCACTGAATGTGTCGGCTGGAGGTACAGTATGTGTACATGTGTGTATATATCTGAACATCTATACATGTAACCCAACAATTCCAGTGAAGTTGGTAATGTTGTTAAGCTAAATAGTTAAACTGCTGGGTACAGGAAATGGTAGATGAATATGAATAGAGATTTTGGAAAGAGAGGGGAAGCTTTCCCTAGGTCTATTGATTGTAGATTAATAGACCCCAGCCCCTAAAGGCTATTCGTGGCTGGGAGGAACAGAATGAGAAAAACAGGCCAGTTTTGATGAGATGACCGAGAGCCATCTGAGCAAAATATCTAAAACCCCTACTATAAGTTGAGAAGAATAGGAAAAAAGAAGAAGAAAGGAAAGTTATTTGAAAGCAGCAGCCCCTCCCCTTGGCTGGCAAAAAGTCTATGTGTGAGCAAGAGGTAAAGGTACCTTTCTAGAGGTAATGGAAGGAGGCTCCGAGCAAATAATTCTGGTTCAACAATTCAAGCAATGTGGAGAGTCAGAGGAGTTGGAAATTCAACCTGTGAAGGAACTGCCCATGGATTTGGCTGGGGGAGAAGTGGGAAGAAGGCCTAGTCAAGAAGATAATCAGAAGAGAACAGTTATGTGACACAGGTGCAATTACCGTGAGTGCATTTAACAGAGTTGGGTGAGCTGGATAGCTTCAACATGTACTGGGTTTTTGAAATGCCTGAATCTTTTGGGGGACTATTCAATATACCGTGTGTAGGAGAGAGACTGGCCAAGCCAGGGGGAGGAATCAAACAGGACATATTCTAGAATCCCTATGTGGATACAAGAGGGTGAAGTCTGATCTCCCCCCTCCCGCCGAATGCCATTGAACCTTACCTAGTTTCACCCAGGTGCAAACCATCAATCTGAGAAGATAATGGGTATAGTCTTGAGCAATAAAGCAGCTAACTGGACTCTTCAAGTGTGGGTTTTGTTGTTTGTGCCTGACACCATGTGTGAGAAGAGGACCAGCTCTGAGCATTGAATTAAAACATTCAGCATGGTTTTAGAGCTCTTCTTATGCCTGTTCCTATCTTTGTATGCTTTTCTTAATGATAAAAATAAAAACTGTAAGAAGTTCACAGCTAGTCGTAGGATATATTTTTTTCTTCACGAATGCCCTAGGGAGAGAGAGGTAAACCCTCCTTCTGCTCGAAGATTTAGCAGTGGGCTTGATGCGAATAAATCGTGTAAGAACTGAAAAAGACTCTGTTTAGGGGAGTCTTTGAAAGAATTCAGTTTTCAAATACAGAACTCGCTTCTGCATTACACCTAGGAGGTGATGGTAGCAAGCTGCACATACCCAACAATTATTTAAAACTTAGTTTGATGCCCTTCAAATAAAGATCTCTTACTTAATTCAGAGATGCTCAGGTTATATTCCCTTCTCATGCCAAAATAGCCAATGCCCAGGGTACTTCAACCGACTGAAACTTCATTAATGCACATGAAACTCTGAGGAATTCTGAAGGAATCAAAACTCAGACTTGAGCCAAGGTTCAGACAGTCCCAACAACACTATCTATCACCCGAAGTAATTCTTCACCTCTCTAATTTATTGGCAGTGGTGTTTTGTCATCTGCAAGCAGCATATGTCTTCATGGTTCAGTGTAAACACTGTAACGGTCTAGAGAGCAGAAGTACCATCAGGCAAGCCAAGCAATTTCGTTTAAATGAATATGAGGAGAAACGTAAACCAGATCATAAGGAAGAGACACAGCGTGACTTTCTCAGCTGTTGTGATTACTCTGCTGTGAAAAGAAACGAGAAACCTTTCTAAAGTTTTGCATTCCTAGAGTCTTCTGCACACAAAGAGTGGCCTCTTGTTATCAATAAGGAAAAGAAGGCCAAATAGGGGAAAGG